GAATGTACCTCCTTATCTGAAACTGAAAACCTCTACTGAAGGTAGATCGTTGTCCTCTTTCTAGGTTTTGAAGCAAGCAAACTACAGCCAAGCTATTCCCAGCTTTCAACTTGATGAAAATTCTGTACCAAAGTTTTGATGCTCATTACAGGATAATCTGCAAAATTTGGTGATGCCCTCTATGTTTCTGAAGATATTTTAGGTTCTCAATATTGTGACATACAATAATCTTATCAACTAAATTTGCCACATTAAAATTGAATTCGAATTGAATTTTCATCTATAACTCCAACTGAAACATTATAACTATTTAAACATTATTCCTATTCACATTCATAAACTGCAAAGTCTAAATGTGACACTGTTGACTTGAGTGATGAGTAATATACAAAGGTTGAGGGATGTCACTCACATATCATGACATCCAGTCCAGAAGTTGGAAACTTACACTATTTATTCAATGTAAGATGTGAGAACGTTCCAGCTCCATTTCTTATTTACTTCCAAGATGTTTTTAAGTTGGACATTTTCTAATCAAAACAAATTCTGATCAAACTAGACATCCAGTACATCTGTAGGTGGTTATATTTTCAGTCTTCCTTGAGATTATCATACAATCTCTTTCAGGGCCAATTTTATTGCATATTATTGAAAAAATGATTCATCTCACACTGACCTTACTCAAAATGGATGACATGTTAGGAAGAAATTTAGGTTAAAAAATTGTGAAGCACCCTTACAGGGAATGGAATAGGAACTACAGCCTTAGTATTGTCAGTGCATGGTAAAGGGGACTGGAATCAACTACCTCGAAGGTAAATCAAGCCAGATAAGCAGGAGGCATTCAAGGAAGAGATACTGAGTGTTCAGAACAGAGTAAGTGTATTCCATTAAATACAAAGGATAAAGGAAGGAAAGAACCTAATGTCTGAAACGGAGGGATCAATACTACAGAAAGTCTAAGGGGACCATTACAAATGCAGTAATTAAATTTTTTTAAAAATTAATACAGAAAGGAGGAAAGCAAAGAGTGAGCATGAAAAAGTAATGTCAAGTAAAATCAAAGAAATCCCAAAGATTTTTTACAATTTCATCGAAAGGAAATAACTGAAGAAAGAGTAGGGCTTATTAGGTATCATAAGGGCTATCTCAGTGTGGAGGATTTGATATGGTTCTTGTATTTGGGGACAATATGCACATTGGAATCAAGGAGGAATTTGAAATGTTAAATATTAGCATAAGAGGAGGAAGTATTAAATGGTTTAAATATCTGAAAGTAGCTAAGTACCCTAGCCCTGTCAGAATGCATCCTGAGCTGTCAAAGGTAGCAAGAGGAGAAATAACAGACACCACGATTACAATTTTCCACAAGCACGGTGCCAGAGGACCAGAGAACTGCTAACATTGTACCAGTAATTTGAAAAGGCAGAAGGGGATGAGCTGAGCTATTATAGGCTAGGCAGCCTATCTTTCCTGGTGGTAGGAAAATTATTGGGAAGAATTCTGAGAGATTCCCTTTCATTTCAATATTCACTGATTAATCAAAGACAATCAGAACCATTCATCATGGGAATGTTGCAAATTACTAACAATAGAATTTTTGAGGTGGTAACAAGCTCAGTTGATGTCGTGTATATGGACCATCAAGGTTTTTATTAAGGTCCCACATGAGACATTGATCACAAAAGTATAATTCATAAGATCTAAGACAAAGTGGCAAGTTGAGTCTAAAATTGGCTGAAGGGCATTTACGTGACTGAAAAGTAGTTTCTAGTGGAGTTCTACATGGCTTTGTATGAATGCCTTCATAAATTACAAAGGTTTGGATTTAAAGGTATAGGGTACAATGAAGAAGATTGCAGCTAATAAAACAATTGGCAGGGTGGCTGTTTCTGAAAACAACTGTAGACTACATGACTAGCTCAGTGGACTGGTGAGATGGCCAAATAGAACAAATGGAATTTAATCCAGAGAAGTGAAAGGTAATGCACTTTGGGAAGGCTAACAATGCAAGTGAATACATGCTAAATGTTAGAATTCTGAGAAATGTGGCAGAAAACATATCTACAGATCACTGAAGGTTGCCACAAAGGATAAGGTGGTCAAGAAGGCATATGGTATAGTTTACTATAATAAACTACTGCCCTGATTTGTAGTTGAAAAGGATACAGGCACAGTGTACAAGAGCTGGGATATCATTCTGAATATGTATAAACCATTAGTTAGACCAGAGGTGGAGAAGTGTGCGTAGTTCTGGTCAGTGCACTTTACAAAAGATGTAATTGCACTAGAAACGGTACAGAGGAAATGTACAAGAATGTTGCCTGGACTGGAGAATTCTAGTTATGAAGAAAAATTGGTTAAACTAAGACTGTTTTCTTTGTAACAATGGAGGCTGAAGGGTGACTTTGTTGAAGAAAATAAAATAAGGTATATGGATAGAATGAGTAGGATGGCCCAATTCTTCTTGGTTGAGGGGTTTATTGCTAAGGATTTACGAAAAGAGGTAGGAAGCTATAGAATGGATTTGATGGAACTGTCACCCAGGAAGTGGTGGAAATCTGGAACCCATTGAAAGGGTTTTAGAGGCAAAAACTGTAATAAGATTTAAAAGTACCTGATTGTGCACTTGTAAAGAATAAACTACAAGGTTATGGATCAAAAGCCTGGAAAGTGGGATTAGGTTGGAGAGCTACTTAGCCACAATGCACACCATCTGGAAGGATAAGGGCAGCAGATACATGGGAACTGAAAGTTCCCCTATAAGTCACATACCATTCTGGCTTGGGAATATATCACTATTCCTTCACTGTCACTGGATTAAAATACTGGATCTCCCTCCCTAACAGCTTTGTGGCTGCCCCTACACCAAGTGGACTGCAGCAGTTCAAGGCAACAGATCATTATTATCTTCTCAAGGGCAACCAGGTCTGTGCAATAAATGCTGGCCAGCCTGTGACACCCACATCCCTTGAATAAATAAATAAATAATGAACCAAATGACCATCTTTTGTGCTGCAAAACTCTATTATTCTCAGCCAAAAAAGTGTATGTCTGCCACAGAATGGACAGATATCCTTCACAAGTGTAACGTTGTTTAATCATGTTCCACTTTTGTGCTGTTCACCATCGGACAAGTGCTGGGAAGAATCCCAATATGAAGCTTTCAGCAAGGTACTACAATGTTACATCACAATCTATCCAGGCATAAGATAGTGAGGATATAAAAGAGTACAAAATATGGAGTTCAGGAAAACAAACCATGTAGAGCAAAGTCCCAACATAATTCAAGTAGTAGCACTTCAGAAAACACATCAATCATGTAGTCACTTTTATTGAATCTTGTAACGCTATTCCTTTATACTCAAGATATCCAAATCACTTCATAATCAATTAATTGCTCTAATAAGGGCCTAAAACTGTGTTGGCAAACACAGCAGCACATTTCTGAAACAGCAAACAATAGAGATCACCAGTTAATCTGTTTTTGATGGGGCTGGAGGAAAGTTTGTTGACCAGAATACACTATTCTCCTTGAATTAAAGCTCAATATCTTTTACATTCCAATATAACCATCTTGTGGTTCACACAAAAAGAGTGGAGTTTTTGACAAGGCAGCACTCCCACTGTGGGACAACAAGGTGCAGGGCTGGATGAACACAGCAGGCCAAGCAGCATCATAGGAGCAGAGAGGCTGACGTTTCGGGCCTAGACCCTTCATCAGAAAAGGGGGAGGGGAAGGGGGTTTTGAAATAAATAGGGAGAGAGTGGGAGGCGGATAGAAGAGGGATAGAGGAGAGGATAGGTGGAGAGGAAACAAACAGGTCGAAGAGGCGGGGATGGGGCCAGGAAAGGTGGGGACCAGTTAGCTCAAATTATTGCAGATGCTGGGATCTGTACTGAAAACAAATGCTGGAGGACATGATAAACTAAAAGGGGAGAAATGATTCACTCTTTAAAGTTTTGATTTCAACATTAAGTCCAGAAGGCTGTAAAGTGCCAGGTCTGAAGATGAGCTGTTGTTCCTCCAGGTTGCGTTGTGATTCACTGGAACACCACAGCATGCTGAGGACTGACATGTGGGCATGCGAGCAGGATGCTGTGTTAAAATGACCAACCTTCCGATTAAATGGTTGGAATGTGAGAATGGCAGAACAATGGTGTGTCTCCTACCAGACTTGAAAGGGCAGTACCTGGGATGGTGGGAGGGGAGGACATGATAATAAGCTATAAGAAACTATCACCCTACACCCATTATCCCAACAAACTCCACACCACCAAACTATAGCATAAATGCTGCCCCCTCCACACTTCACTTCAGCTTTGATGAAGAGTCATCTAGACTCAAAACGTTAGCTTGCTCTCTGTCCATGGATGCTGTCTGACCCGCTGCAATCTCCAGCATTTGTTGTTTTCAGCTCAGTTGGCTGAATAGCTGGTTTGCAATGCAGAGTAATGACAACAACTTGGGTTCAATTCTCACACTAGCTGAAGTTACTATGAAAGACACTCCTCCTCAACCTCTCCCCTCACCTGCGATGTGGTAACTCTCAGGTTAAACCATCACCAGCCACGTCTCTCTAATGAGTAGCCTATAGTCTGTTAGGATTATGACATCTTTAACTTTACTCCCACTGTACTGTTTGCAAAGGTGTGTCCAGATGGAGTAGGATTTTAACTTGCAACCTTCAAGAGGAGAATGCCAGGAAACTACTTCCCTGATTTGTAGTTGCAAAGGGATATAGGAAATGCCAATTTAAAAAAAAATCAGCCAGATCACTCTACTATCTTGGTAGTTGCACAGTGCAACCATAACGGAGTTCCTAATTATGGCAGCTAATCCACTTCAAGGCAAGACATGAGGTGAGAAAGTTTCAGTGGTATGCATCTTTGGGTACCATAGGTCCAAAGTCACCCATTCCTTCCTTGCAGATTACTACATACCAATAAATGTACGAAGTGACACATGTATTGTACCTTTTTCTGAAAGGAAGCTTAATTACACTGAACTAATCAATATTATCTGCTGGAATTTAGGTCTCCTTAAACCCACTGGGCATATGATAAGAATTCAGAGACGCAGTCTCTTGAGTGGCACACTGCAGTCGGTGGAGGTTGGACCCTCCAGTACTGACCCTGCTCCACTGACCTTGTCCTGAGGGCTGTCCACGCCGCCTCAATGTCCGAGTAAAGGTTTCTCTCGGAAGGTTTCCCGTTGCTGGCCCCGTAACCCGAGTAGTCATATGAGAAGATGTTGCACTTAATGCGGTTGCCAAGGCCGATGTAGAAGCTGCACATCTGGCCCAGGTCCACAGCGTTGCCATGGGAGAAGAGCAGCGTATAGCGGCTGTCGGGCACGCAGCGGGCGAACATGCAGGCCAGGCGGTTGCCGCGCCCGCTGCGCACGAAGAACACCTCGAGCAGCTCCAGCTCCCGCTCCGAGAACTGCCAGTCGGCACGCTCCGACAGGTGCAGGCTGCACAAGCTGCTCGACTCTTCCGTCAGCACCGTGTAGGTGGGCTCGGGCGGCAGGAAGGCCAACTTGGCCGCGATCCGGCTCGGGCAAGGCGGGCAGCAGAAGAGCCAACACAGCTCACCGAGCGAGAAGCCATTCATCCTGGGGGAAGGGGAAGGGGTGGGGTTGGGAGAGGAGGAGGAGGACGAGGAATGCTCCTCATCTCCCTGCTCCCCGGCCGCGGTCGGCATGGGAGACGGTTGCCAGGAAACCGGCGCGAGCGGGATGGGCGGGGCCAAGGTGGAGGATGTAGATTCCGGAAACAAGCCGGAGGTGTGGAGGCGTGACGGCACCAGAGTGGGCGGAGTCTAGGCGAAGCCGGTGGGTGGGTGGGGCGCGAAAGGGGGCGTGGTTCAGTCAGCGGTTCGTTGCTGGGATGAATGGGGACGGTGCTCAGGTGAAATGGCCGGGGCTTTTTATCGTGAGACAAGGCTCCCGTTCTGGGATGAAAAGAGGGCGGGGTTTAGCGGGAGGGGCGGGGCGCAGGCTGTGTTTCAACGCAGGGAAGGATGGGCCGACCTTCGACGTTGTGGGCGGGGTCTAGACGTGGTGGGATTAATAGTGTTGGGCGTGGTTAGGGCGGGTAGGGATATAGCACTGAGCAATAGTCAGCGGTTGCATCGCCCCATATTGGCGGCCGTGGCGAGAGCTGGTTGTCAGGTGAGGTCTGTGTAGTAACGACGGGTGAGTGGCTGAAATTAACATTGAGGAGCGTTGTGGCACTGTTGAACTGGAGTAGGGCACACAATGGCGGCCATCAGCGAAGCTTCTCCTGCTAGGCAGGCTGGCCAACCAGCACTTCCGGGTCACTCGGGGGTCAGCGTCACCCCAGCACTAACAAAGGGACATGTGGATGTGAGTCTATCAACCAAAAAAGGAAAACTATTACATTTATACAGCAGCTTTCACGATCTCCCGATGTCCCAAAGCACATTAAATATCCATTATGTAAGATAGCAGAAAATGTTGGAAATGCTCAGCAAACTTGTGGAAAGAAAAGCAGATCCGTAACCTATCATCAGAACTTAGTCATGGAGTTCTTATGGCACGGAAAGAGATATTTTTGATCCATTATGTCAAACCAGTTCTGAAGCACCTATCTACTCTCGTCCCATTTACTAGTACTTTGCCCATACCGTTATTTGCTCTGGCATTTCAAGTGTTCATCTCAATACTTCTCAAATGTGGTGGTTCCAGCCTCTTCAACATCTTCATGCTGTGAAACATTTGCCACAAATCACCTCTAAACTTCCCACTTAGAATCATAGAATCACTACAGTGTGGAAGTAGGCCATTCTACCCATTAAGTCCACACCACCCTCTGCAGATCGTCCCACCCAGACTGAACCACCTATCCCAACATTTCCCATGGCTGATCCACGTAGCCAGCACATCCCTGGGCACTGAGGGAAATTTAGCATAGCCAATCCACCTAACCTGCACATCTTTGGACTATGGAAGGAAATCCACACAGATGCAGGGAGTTAGTAGGAACTGCCAGACCCGAAACGTCAGCTTTCCTGCTCCTCTGATGCTGCCTGGCCTGCTGTGTTCATCCAGCTCTATGCCTTGTTATCTCAGATGCGGGGAGAATGTGCAAACTTCGCAAAGTCACCCAAGGCTGAAATCAAACCCAGATCCAAGGCACTGTGAGGCAGCAGTGCTAACCACTGAGCTACCCTTTAAATTTCTTATCCTAAATGTATGCACCCTGGTTATTGATTCCTCTACTGAGGGGAAATTATTCTTTCTGTCTACCTTATCTAGGCCCCCATAATATTGTATACTCAATCAAGTACCTCCTCTGTCTTCTATATTGGAAGGAAAACATCCCCAGTTGTCTAATCTCTCTTCAGCCCAGGCAACGTTCTGGTGAATCTCCTGTGCACCCTCCCTAATACAAACACGTCCTTCCTACAGTGTGGCAACAGAACTGCACGTGGTACTCCAGCTGTGGCTTAACTAATGTTATGTACAACTCCATTGTAACATCCCTGCTGTTCTGTTTGATGCCTTAAGTAATGAAGCATGTATCCCATATGCCTTGCAGTTCAAGGCACCAGAGTCCAGTGCAGAAACAAGTCTTAACCCTGTCCTTGGTGTATTCTTCAATTTGAAAAACATAAATCGTGTCTTGGATATAATCCACATGGAAAGGCTTTCTATTGAGTGGAAACTTTCAGGCCATTGTTTGTAGTTACAAGAGATCACAATCCAGTCTGAAGCTTCTCAGCTACCATTAGTTGTTACATCCCATTGGTCCCACACAGAAGTTTTGCCAGCCAGCCACTGAATTTATACCTATGGTTATTTTATCTCTGTAGCAATCCTCTTAAAAACGCATTTTAGAAATAAAGGCTAAGAACACCTGTAGTAGTTTGGGATTCTGACCCATCATTGTAACGCCTTTCATTTACACACTCAAATATTGTGTTGACAAAGCTATAAAAGCTGAACACACAAAACAAAAGCAACAGTATGTACCAATGAAAAGATACAGTGAACGCAAACCTGAAGAATAATAAATGTGACAAGGAATTTCAAAAGAACTGAGAAGTTCGTGGACTGAGCAGCTAGTTACAGATGAGTTTTAATGCAGAGATCCGCATTTTGAAAGGAAGAACATTCAAAGACAATATATCATAGTGGGTATAATCCTCAATTGGGGGGATATGTTTGCAGATTATTGAAGGTGACAAGACAGGTGGAGCAGTTAGTAAAGTACTTTCTGAAGAAGGTCAGCTTTCCTGCTCCTCTGATGCTGCTTGGCCTGCTGTGTTCATCCAGCTCTACACCTTGTTAACGCAGTATCCTCAGCTCTATTAATAGGAACGTACAGTACAACAGCAACGAGACATAACTTGCATAAGATACTTAGAGTAATAGACATTACAGAAACAGAAACAGACCCTTCGGTACAACTCTTTCATGCCAACCAGATACCCTAAATTAAACTAGTCCCATTTGCTAGCATTTAGCCCATATCCCTCTAAACCCTTCTATTCAAGTACCTGTCCAGATGCCTTTTAAATGTAATTGTACCATCCTCCACCACTTCTTCTGGCTGCTCACTTCCAACATGCACCACTCTGCGTGAAAACGTAGCCCCTTAGGTCCCTGTTAAGCCTTTCCCTTCTCACCTTAAACTTATGCCCTGTAGTTTTGGACTTCCCTACCCTGGGAAAAATACCTCAATTATTCAGTGTATCCATGCCCGTCATGATTTTAAAAGCCTCTATCAGGTTCCCCCCGAGCCTCTGATGTTCCAGGGAAAATAGCCCCAGCCTATTCAGCTTCTCCCTATAGCTCAGACTCTCCAACCCTGGCAACATCCTGCAATCTTCCAGCACCTCACCTGTGGTTATTGATGATATAAAGGGACCCAGCAATCACTTGCCTTGCTGATCAGGTCCCAGGGATTTCTCCACTTTTATGCATTTTAATATGTCCAGCACCACCACCTCTGTAATATGTACACTTTTCAAGATACCACTGTTTATTTCTCCAAGTTCTCTAGCTTCAATATTCTTCTCCATAGTAAATTCTGATGCAAAATACTCATTTAATATCTTTTTTTAAAGAATCCCTATAGTGTGGAAACAAGCCATTCAGCCCAACAAGTCCACACTGACTCTCTGCAGAGGATCCCACCCAGACACACTCCCCCTATCCTATCCCTGTAACTCTGCATTCCCCATAGATCCCCATGGCTAGTCTAGCTAGCCTACGCACGAACACTATGGGCAATTTAGCACAGCCTATCAATCTAACTTATACATCTTTGGACTGTGGGAGGAAACCAGAGCACGCAGCAAAAGCTCACACAGACTTCGAGAGAACGTGCAAACTCCACATAGTCACCCGAAGGTGGAACTGAACCTCGGTCCCTGGTGTTGTGAGGCAGCAGTGCTACCCACTGAGCCATCATGCTGCCTGTTCACCTCAGCTGGAGTATTGTGTACAATTCTGATGCCTCTTTATAGAGAGCAGACAAATGCATTGGAGAGGGTACAGAAGCAGTTTACAAGAATAGTTCCAAGGATGAGGCTATAAGGGCAGAGATTCTGATAAAAATCATGAGCAGGCTGGATAACGTAACTGGGGAAAAACAGTCCTGTTTGTAAAACAAATAAGAAGAGGACATAGATTTAATACGATTTGCAAAAGAATCACGGCTGAAATGAAGAAAAACTTTTTCACTCAACAAGTAGTTAGGATATGGAATGCACTGCCTGGAAATGTGGTGGAGAGAGGTTCAATTGAGGCATTCAAGAGAGCATTGAATGATCATTTAGATCAAAAAAAATGTGCAAGGTTATAGGGAAAAAGCAGGAGATTGGCGCTAAGTAATGATGCTCATTTAATGAGCTGGCACAATAGGCTGAATGGCCTCCTTCTGTGCTGCGACACTTCTGTGTTTCTGCTATAATTCTGAGTCTCCTACCGTAATAAAGTCCAAAGTAACTATTTTATACTTGTACTTCCACAAAATGACAAGGAAAATTGATTAGTAATTACTAAATAAATTACTATTAAATTTGAGCTTTATACCCAAATACAAACACAATAAAACAATAAGACAGTTTTATACAGTGATTATACTCTTCCCTATCCACAGTATAAGAAAACACTTCAGTATCACCTGTCTAGACCACAGAAGTAGAGTGGGTTATCAGTCCTCTTGATTTCTACTGATGATTACACAATATTATCTGCAAAGCAATGAACAGTCTTTACTTCACTGGTTGATCAGTTGGACCTGGAGATCTTTCCTTTTCCTTTTAGAATTATTTCCTTAAGTGTCTCTGGATGTTTTTTTTTTCCTTCTCTTTTGACAGTGAAGGAGGACACACAACAGAGACAGAGGGCTGATTTTGCAGCTATCTCCTGATAGTTTCAGTTTGATTGCCACGCTCAGGGTTTGTCTTAAGCTGTGGCCAGACCAATCAAAAAGTTGTTAATATGTTGAGGATCCCTAAACCCACAACACATGGTGCCAATTTTTCTGAATTCACTGTGCAAAAGAAATAACATTGTCGCACATGCATCACTTAGCTTTAATTTTAGAAGTTGCACACAAACTCCTTGATTTTTTTTAAAGTCAGTATCAGTTTTCCCCATTTACATTCCAGAGGCCAAAATAAAAAGATGGCGTCTTTACAATATATGCACACAAACTTGCAATCTAAGATTCTGAATTAACTTGAAATGATATGGGTAACAGATAAACAATTGTTGAGCTCTCCATGAAGAATATCAAATAGTAAATGCAGTCAAGTCAGATCCCGCTGATTCCTGAAACTCCCCCTCTTTAACTTTTTAACTTTGTTTTCCTTATTTTTCTGTTTGTACCTAAAATTCTGTACATTTGTACCTAGGATGGTGTCGCAAGTGGCAACTCAAACTTTTCACCATACACATGAGTTCATGTGACAATAAAGCT